GTGAAGGGTGGAAGAGAGCCAGAGGCGGTCAAACAATGACTTGGCAGCGAAGTATGAAAGCAATTACCAGCAAACTCGGCCGCGCTGCTCACTGCCGTCTTCCTGGATGGGGACCCCGTGACGGGCCACATCAATGGCTAGAGACATTGTCAGATATGGCCCAGTCGCGCCCTCTATGGCGCTCGTGCATCCAAGCTATTGCCTTCAATGCATAGCTCCTTTTCCAACCCCCTCACCACTTGACAGCCCATTGTACCTATCCCCCCCAAAACATCGGTGAACGAAACTGCGGCAGCTACAACCACTGTACGACGAGTACGCGGTTATTACAGCTGACAGTGACAGTCGCTCATACGTGGTTTCCGGGGACCGGCCGCACGGATCAACTGAAATAATCTTCGGGCACTATCGGTTTTCTGGGCGTCTTCCATGGCTATCTGTGTCCACTACACTTCACGGTCGGCTCGCACGCTCCCTTCTCACTTGACGTCTGGTAATTCATCGCATCAGGTTACGGTATGGAACGGCCGGGATATTTTTAAAGATTTAAGCAATCCCACTGTTCCGTCTGGTATCCAGTGATTTAGTGCACCTGGTGGTGCCGTGATCGACTTCGGCATTTATATCGCCTGGAAGAATCACAATGTCAGTGATTCTTGCTTGACGAATGAGACTGGAATAACGCTCGATAGAAAGTATCATTCTAGCATCGGAGCTGCAGTCCGTTGGAACATAAGCCGACACTACAAACAGGCACCGCTTTTTATTTGCAGAGGCACTGAGCTTGATTGAGCTCGATAACCGGACGACGCCAAGGCGACTGTTCACTGGGATCCAATCCAGCATAGCACGCTCAGCTCTGGGGATGAAGGGACGTTAAAAGCTCCTATGTAAAAAACACCTAGTGGATTTAGCAAGATGTATTGTTTGTTGCCAGCAGGCAGCATAGTGCATAAGGCCCCTCGGTCAGGTAACTGGCAGTCAAATAACCCAGCAACGTTTGCTTGTGTGATGGGAAGGGACATCAGTGGAGACAGAACTGTGTTGGCAAATGATACTTCCCGGTTGCCCAGGCCGAGGAAGCGGGTTCGGTTGAGGAAACCAACCTTGAGCTTTTGACACAAATGTCTAAGGCACTGGGAGAATGTAGGGCTTTGTTCAGGGACCCTGCCCCTAGCCTCCAACTCAAAAGTCTGACCTGCTTGGCTGCAGGGGGTCGGCCTAACCCAAGGGCACAGGGAGTAAAGCATTACTGTCTCACTCCTGATGAGGCTGCGCGCAGCAGGTACCTTTTGAGCATCGTCGGACTCTAGTTTCAGGAGTATCTCGAACGTATTCAATAATGCGCCGGCGGTCACGGTCAACCTTGGGCAATCGGAGTGTGCGGGTTTCAGGGCCGACCTTTTCTAGCCCGTCTTTCCTTGGGGGAAGGCAGTATCGCTATTTCCATGAACGTCGACATGCTGGTCGTCTGGGAAAACCGTCTTACTTCCTTCACGCGCCTATAACAGAGGACAGGATGACTTCACCCCCAAACCGCCCCCTAGCACGACTACTCGTAGTACGAGGTCTGGCTGCTCCCGTTCGACCTTACTGGCGTAGTAGCACCTGGTGGAGCGAAGTTCCAGCCACGGTAGTCCGCGGGATCATTGCACCACCCAGGCCTGACCACCACGTCAAGGTGACAGCTTGAGATCATGGTCTACCAGTCGTCCAGTCACGTTATTATTTGGCCAAATCCACTGGCGTTCATTGAATACGCAACAGAGGTAATCAGACCGATTCCCACTTGTTGTCAACAATTTTGACCCTTCACTACACCCGTTGCTGCGCCCAGTGGCCCTCAGTCAACTGTCTAACCCAATGAGGAGGGGAGCTTGCTGGAAGATCATCCTCGAGCCTTTTGTTGATAAGTGGCCTCCATAAAGGAGGACTTTTTGATACGACCGAGAAGCCTGCGTTCCTCCAAAAATTGGGAGTGCAACGTCTTAAAGCATGCGTCCGCTTCTGGAGGATTGTTTGCGCTAACTTTGCACCCACAATTGGTGCAAAATAGTGATTAGACGGGTCTGAAACACTTGGATGTACTCAGCAAGTCTTGTTCACTCAACCAATATGGCTATATGACCTGAGATGGGATAAACTATACCCGAAATCTGTGCCCTCATAGCATCGTTAGCATCCAAGACTTTTGTAAAATTTACCACACTGTCCACTCGGTGTGTTGTGTTATGTGGATGAAGTCACAAGGTTTTCTGAAACGAATAACACTGAAATTTATTGCAACAAGAGTTAAGGAAAATCAATAACCAACCTGTGAAGTCCGGAAAAATTCCTATGGGTTTTCGAAGTTGCCGATTTGGTCGGTATGGATGTGTCATATCTAGCACCCATTGCCTCGTACCCTTCTTCCTCAGCCGCGTGCTTGCTCGCAGCATCTTCATCTCTGGGTTCGAGCGAAACCTGCAGATGTCGTTCGAACGGATGCCGAACGTGAAACGCCTCGTCTGGTATGTACCCACCATCCAAAGGAACCGGATCATCAGGTTCACAAATTTCTATCACAAAACAACCATAACAGTGAAACATTTCTATTAGTGACACGTTGCGAAATGGGTAAATGAAATAGGTTATTTATACTTCGGTCAGAATGGCTGACTCGATATATGACCCGCCGATACTACGACAACGGGAAAGAACGATAGCACTTCGTTCCTACCTGGTGAAGTATTGTAACTGAACGGACTATCCCATCACTCTCTGCTTTCAGCTGTAGACCTCTTATAACTCAGAGGCCGCTGCGGTCGGATACACATAACCGAGTATCAGGTTGGAACACCGAGTGGCAGGATACTCGTTGACGCTAGCCCTGTGCGGTGTTGGGCTCGCGTCATAGCTGGGGAGTTGTGCGCTCATTCTCAGGTCGCGTATATCCGTTGACCGTACCCGATTCCGATACATATCAGGTTGGAACACCGAGTGGCAGGATACTCGTTGACGCTAGCCCCTGTGCGGTCCAGTCGTCAAAGTCTGTGAAATAATCTCGAGAAACAGAAGTTCACGACACCCTGTTTAATGTACCCGCTTAAGCCCTGCCAAAGCCAGTTTTCATGGTTTTTACAGCAAGCTTAGAACTCAAACATCATTTTGGTTGCTGATGATATGAACGCGCAGACAGACGAGCCTAGGACTGATTAGGCTGGATTGGGTTGGGTATGAGACGCGCGGACTGTGCGTAGCATCTACTGCTGGTATTGAGATCACAAGTTGGTCCGTTGCAGGACCAGTTTACCGAAGGTGTCCATCAACGAACTAGCCTCGTTCAGAAATAGACCAGAGCCGCATCAGTTACCGATGCAGAGGACCCGCCATCGCCTGCCACTCCTCCTGAAACACCTCTCAGGATTTCTCTATTATAAATTGTCTGTTGATTGTCAGGTTTGCGCACATCTATCTCACATGGCCACTAAGACTTTACAAGCAAACAAATGCATAAGAGCCGAGTTCTCCGAGACCGACGTGGTGATCAGATTTCAGATGTTAGCCATCAACGGAGCTGGAAATGTGCCGGAACTTTGCTAGCTCGGGTGCAATCAGGTGACCGCTGAGTTTGACAGTGAGCTTGTACACGCTTCGCCAACAATCAAGATGACATCATCGGCAAGCGGTTGGGTGAGTAATGCATTTTTACTTGCTTGAGTTTACGTAGTCTTCAAGAGCTGGCTGATGTCTATATATCTATCTATATCTTCAGAGAGAAATGACTGGAAGACCAGCTGCCGGAGTGGAAATTGTGTCTCAGAATGGTGCATATGTGAGCGCCGGATGTTCACCAGGTGAAAGGATGCCTGGAAGGCTCACTGTGAGCGCCGGATGTTCACCAGGTGCACGGATGCCTGGAAGACTCGGGCTCTGGAGTGGACCTGCATAGACGGAGTTTTATTGATGGGTAGGATGAGTATGAACTATCAGTACTTGATACACGGAAATATGGAATAAGCGATCCACACAACTCCGTCCAGTTAATCAGCCGTTCGGTCTGTGTTAAGGGCACATTGGTTCCAGCCTTTACAGTCTTGTTCACCAATAATGAACCTGTGAACCGGCTCCCTTACACAAATTTGTTAGTTTCCTGAGAATGTGAAGATTAGAACAGCTGTGCATTGGGAATGCGCGTTAGCCAGCCGAATGAGTGGCACACAGTGTACGCAGTCCAATCACCACAAACCATTCAGTTGTTCTTTTGCGAAAACCGCACCTCGGTTTTGCTAATCCTACTATTTATCGCGGGATTTTAGCTATCTCCTGGAGGTACCTCGAAGGACAACTGAAGACGTGGCTAAAAGACGATAGGAATCAATTCAGTCTTCATTAGGCCGCAAACCGCAGGGCTTTAACTGATGAGCGCAGCTCATGAACAGCTGCTGCATGAGACGCTCCTGAACCAGTTAAAAGGTAATCCTTTGGAGATATCGATGTGAGGTTTTGTTCGGAAACTTTGTAAATGGTCGCTGACATACATGTTTCCGCTGCGGGGTGGAGATGGGAGGTCGCTAACTTCTTCTGCAAAAGAGGGAGCTATTGTAAACCAACCGTGTGTGTGAACTATCAGATGATGCGAGACCTATGCATTTGCAAACTGACAAGATGGAAGCCACTGAGAACCGACTCTTGAACCGGATATATCAGGAAAGACGATGTTAACTATTGGGCAAGCACTTACCATGCATGTAGCTTGTTTCTTTCTCTCCTCGCGTGCTAGATGGAGGGAAGATAGTACACTTGTTAGTTAAATCACATAAAGTACGGAAAAATAAATGAGGCCCAGATTCGAGATGAGATGAGCAAAAAAGGTGGAAATTCGAATGGCGTATGGCCATAAAATACTGGATGTGGACGAGGAACCATGGTGTTCAACAGCTACCAGACTGCCAATACAATGCGGATGTTAAAAACCAGGGATGTATCGACGAAATACCTTCGCATTGTATGGACCAGACCAACGGACACATGAGTATACGAAACGTTTTACGAGACTTAGACCTCTATCTATTCAATAGTCCACAATACAGGCGGGGTGTAAACACCTTACAGATATTCCCAAAGGATTTGTTACGTCCGAACTAACCTTCAGGCGGCTTTTTGACAAATTCGAAGCAATTAACTAGCACAACACCAGGGTTGATAGATTTGCATCAGTCTGATTGTGATACCTGGCGGAGTCGGTAGGCTGAATGGTATGAAAAGGTCAGCTGTTAGCTGACACTACTCAGTCACCGGCCTTTGGATGAAGAGTATCTTGATTAGATGTCCTCTAGTCGAAAGGCGCATGAATTCGACGGGGAGATTTCAACAACCGTCGGAGATAAGTACTGTTTTGATACGTTGATTTGGTAACAATGATAATAACAATGGTAATAAATAAATATATAAGCATTCAGCCGCAATACGCTCCCGGTGCCTAGCTGCCATGCCGCCCGAAGGAGGCAAGAGGGTTAAAATACTGACTGGGAGTTGCTAAGATTAGGTTCGAACCACGGACCTTCAGGTCAGCAACTTTGCGCTTTAATCATTGAACTATCTCGAGTTTGGTGCGGTTGTATAGTGTCGTATAAGACTGGCTATCCTTGTACTCATCGATAAGGATGGTAGATATGAACAGGACTGAGGTACTTGGCCATGAAAACTACGTGATTACACCCAGAAATCGAGTAGCGATCACTGGATCCACTGTATTCTATATTTGACTGGGGTCAAATTCTCTTATTCGAGCCCGACCAGGGCATGTCCAGTATTGTTGTTTCACATCAAGTAACTTTTTTCTAGCCCGGCATGGCCAAGTTGACAGTAATACTAGTTTATATCTTGCTCCAGCTTGGCATGGGCTGATAACCAGATACGAAGAAAACCTGGGTTCCTCAGCCCGCAATATTCCCTAAATCAAACTTGTGCTACTCGAGGCAAGGACAATAATCCGACTACTTCCGCTCGCATACTCAAAGGAGAGAAAATATGAGAAATATCAGAAATTGAACAGTAAAACTAAGCTGTATGGAGGCCATCCATCCCTAATGACCGAACACCACATCATTTGGGCGGGACACAGGCCAGACGAAGGCATGCCCTGATTGATCAGAATGCCAGCCAATCCGAGTCAAGCACATTTGACTCGACGCTTCTCGGCCCCCCCACCCCTCACGGAGATTCTAGCAAGACTTTGTGGAACACTCTGTGGCTACCCTATAAATACAGTTGTACTAATTTTCCTTTGTCACCATAAAGGGCTGTGTATAGCTACCGTGCCTTTTGCTTATAGTGGGCGGAGCAGGAAGCCAAGGGACAGATACAGAGTTGCACTACCGTTTAGCAAGACACAACATAAGCGGAATTCAATACTTCGTTTGGACCTACTTGACGCCCGAACTCAGGTGTGCGCTGTGAGATAACTGCTGCCCGTTACATGGTCCATCCAGAAGAGAAGGATCTTGCAGAGGTATGTGATTCGGATAATGAAACAGAAAGTCCACCGGCTCTCCCAAACTATCGCAAGTGTGTGCAGAGGAAGCGGACATTCCAAGCAAATGTGAAGAACCAGGCGACCGACTAGTTTTGGAAATCGACGCGGCCCGATGTCTAATAGGAATTGTATTGGAAACAACAGCTGTCGTTTCCAATTCCTGAGATCCCATGACTTGTTCTGGCTGAGATAGTGAGTTTTTGTTGCTCGGAATGTGCAAATCCGATGCAAACCTGGAGCTGGAAGGATAACGGTCGCGCTGATCGGGGCTGGCCGGAACGCACATCTCAGAATTGATAGCATCCGGTTGCCATCCTTCATCAAAGTCATTACCTAAAATGGCACAGATAGGGCACTAGAATCGCCAACAGGAAAAGACAATACTTGCTAGACGGCTTGAACGGTGAGTCGCTCGACAGGAACACTTGGCGTTTTATCCCATCGAAAGAACTGATTGGTACCCGCTACTCACAATGTGCAAGTAGTAAAGCACAAGAATAAAAAAGGCAGCAAACACCCACCCACTCACAGACAATCCAATCACAAAAATTCGGAACATTTGTTTCTATACCGCAGTCATAAGGCGTTTGGATGGTGCTGGACATATCAAAAGCCTTCTGAGGTGGGCCCCAATAATGACAACCGGGTTGACCGACGCCGTCCTCAAAGGGAGAGATATAACATCAAATTTTAAAACTGAAGGATAGCTGGACAAAAGTCTGGACAACGCAAACCAATTGAACCACAGCATGCACCTACAATGTATGCAAGAATTACACGCTAAAAAGAACACTTCAAGCCCTTCAACGTCAGTTATGTGAAATCTAACGACTTAGTAATAAGCTTTGATGAAAATGATTGGTTGTATACTCAACGGATTATTGATTCACCGGCGCAGAGCTCTAGCAGTTCTAGCCGAACAGAACGAAGTGTGGGAACTACATGGAGGTTAGGGATTTGGTCTGTCAGCAAATCCTTCGCGTTCTTGGGAACGGCGGGAACACGGGGACAAAAAGTAGCGCCTGAAAATTTTATTGATTGGCTGCAGTCATCTTATTTCCATTGAACAAAAACGGTGTGAACTTCACACAACTCTGACAGGTCCCAGTAGGAGGGTAAACAATCACTTAGCCAGGGTAGCAAAACACTATTACAATGAACTGGAGAATTAGTCTTGTTGCAGGACGCCACGTCATTCCATGTGCGGGGTAAAGTGTCCTCTGGCTTGGTCACGTGCACCGTGTGCCAGCCGACTAACTTCCTCGAAGGGTTCTTTTCGCACAGCCACGAGAAGAGTGGAAACCGGACAGAGGAGGTCAAACCATGGCTTAACAGCCCAGTATGAAAGCCATTACCAACAAACTCAACTGCGACGGTCATTATTGTCTCCCTGGATGGGGACTGCGAGACGGGAAGAATCAATAATTAGAGACACTGTCAGACATGACCCAGTCGCGCCCTCAATGGCACTCGTGCCTTCAATGCATAACACCCTTTTCAATCTCCTCAATTAAAAAGTCCACATTGCATTTACGCATCAATGCGCAGTTACCTGCCGCACCTCCCCAAACCATCGGTGAACGAAACTGTGGCAGCTATAACCACCATACGACGAGTACGCAGTTCTTACAAGTGCTGCTGTTGATGATGACGTCAAACTTGTCAGTATGCATGGAAACAAGGAATCATAGATATGGATTTCCCGTAAGACTCGTTTTCCCGGTTCACGAACGTTAAACGCTGTGTCTCAGAAAGCAATTTTACGGATCGCGGAACATCTGGAGCAAACGGAAGACTGGATTTGGTGGTTTTT